TTCTTCTTTTTCTTTTCTTCTTCTTTTTCTTCTCTTTATTATTTTCCCTCTTCTTCTTCTTCTTTTTCTTTTCTTCATCTTCTCTTTATTCTTCTTCTTCTTCATCTTTTTCTTCTTCTTCTTCCTCTTCTTCATCATCTCTTTCTTCTTTTTCTTCTTCTTCTTTTTCTTCTTCTTCTTCTTCTTCTTCTTCTTCTTCTTCTGGGTAGCGCTTCCAGCAAATGTCATATAGCCACACTCTTCCAAGTGGACGACAGTTTCCGCCTCGCCTCTGTCTCGTCAACACGCTCAGCGGGACTCGAGCCCGGGAATGCCTCTTCGAAAGCAAGCCTGTGTCAAATGCAGTGCCGTTGTGGAAAAAATACAACTAGCAGTCGCTCTTCACCTTGAACGGAGCATGTATGATGTTGCAGTACCTTCCAATTGGTTGGAAGGGGCGAATGGAAGGCATCATTCGTCACTTGGTCCCACCGGAAGCGGTAGACTTGGAGCTGCCTTGGAGCTCTGACTGTCGATTTGTGCGAATAACTTCTCGGCGCACCGCACCGCCCCGCTACCCCTTCAACTTCCGTGGAGATCAAACTTACGAATAATGCCCTCCACTCGCATCTACAGTCGAAAGTGAAGTTACTACAGCAGCAATCTGTAAAGGGAGTCTTCGAAACCCACTTTTTCGCAATTCATATCGTCTCGTAGCAGTCTCGACAACCAAGTTGTGAGAGAAAAAGCGGAAATGGTCGAACCTCGTTTCCGCAATCTGGCCGTGTTGCCAGGGCCTCTGATATAGTTGCTATCCCAATTGCCAGTTTTGGAGCGTGGACTTGGGGGTATGCACAGGCAGGAGTCGTCGGTTTTGATGAGCTGTAGCTTAGTGCTGTGAATGGCAAGACTGGATGTGGCTGTCGGCGGAGCGTGTGCAAGTGTGACAAGTGCCTCCTGCCACGACTCTGTGAATTGGCACAACTGATGTGGCACACGACTGCGGCCAAGGTATGACAGACGAGGTGAAACCACTTCGAAACATGGAAAGGCTTGGAGACGAAGAGAAATTGGGTTTCGATGAAAGTCATGCGACAACATTTGATATGAAAGTGCATGAAGAAGAGATTCGAACGTCGATCTCGCCAGAAGAGGACGGACGAATCCCGCTCAAGTTGACACGGTCCACGAGACTTGCTCTCTCGCTTTGGGGCGAGCATGGGCTGAGCTTTGGTGCATCATTCCGTGGACATCATCAAAGTTGGGTCGTATTGTTGTAGAATTGTCAAGTTGACCCTAAAAGAAAAAGACTATCCGGCTCTATCTTATCTCTTATCGGAATAAAGAAAATGAAGATAAAAACCTAAATAAATTGATATAAAGTGGTTTGGCTAATAATTTTTCATACCGGTCCTAGTACTTTTGTTCAAGTGTGTGTGTGTCTTGACGTCAATTCGCAAAGCTGATCCCAAAATAGTGTCCAAAAGACTAATGTCAGGCTCTCCACCAATATTTGGTCATATTCAGTGGAAAATTCGTATGATTTCGTCGAGTTGATTGAGTAGCAGACACTTTCAGAATAGTAAGCTTTGATGTGGTGTCTATGTACATAATAATTCCTCACCAAGGAGCTATTCAAGCTGTGATACAAACTATGGAGGAGCATTCACAGATGACACAAGGAATAAGGACGAGAGTAACTTCCATTATTAGACTTACTAACCTATCCATGAGTAGTACATATTTCACCTTTGATGGTTAGTTATACGAACAAACACAAGGACTGGCGATGGGATCTTGCCTGTCTCCCATATACGCTAACACACACACACACAGACACTCGAGCAAAAGTAGCAGGACCAGTATGAAGGATAATTAGCCAAACCACTCTATATCAATTTATTTAGGTTTTTATTTTTATTTTTTCAATTCACATAAGAGGTAAGATAGAGCCGGATAGTCTTCTACTTTTAGGCTCAACATGAGAATTTTACAACAGCGCGATTCCCTCGTCCTCTTCGATCAACGAATCTCTTCTTCATGCACTTTCATACGAAATGAAAGTCGCCGCAGCAAGCAACATCTGAGTCTTTATACTAACACTTAACTAAATTATTATTTCATTACATAAACATGCAATTATTCTTATATAAGATGTATTCACCCAATTTCGTTTAAGGCGATGAAGGACTGGTAGTAGAATTTTCCCACAATGACATGAGTAGAGCTGACGTTTCCATTCAATTTCACATAGCCCTGCTTTTTCAAAAGTTGTTTTCATTCAGACAAAAATGGACGACAGTTTCGAACTCTCATCGGTCTTATCAACACCCCCAACGGGAGTCGAACCGTGGCAGTGCGGAATGGAAGCTTGACACGTTAAACACTCGACCCTTGGGTCAAAGGGCAGATGTAAATTTCAAGAAAGGTCAGGCTTTTTTTTGCTATATCATATTCTTTGGTGGCAGTGCCGTTGAAGCAAACGTATATTTGCTATAACAATCGACTATGCTACTCATTTTCGTATTATAGTAGAGCTTCGAACAACTTTTGGGAAAGCAAGGCAATGTGAAATTGAATGGAAACGTCAGCTCGACTCATGATTGTGGGAAAATTCTTCTTCTACCAGTCCTTCATCACCTTAAACGAAATTGGGTGAAAACATTCCATACT